TGAAGCGATGATAACCACATTTCCAATCTCAATTCCAGGGTCATAGTTGATTTCTAGCGCGCACGCGTATACGCCCGCACACATACATAGTTATTTATAGAGGCACATGGCCGCGCACACCCAGGTACGTGCACACATTTCGACCGCATACGCGGAATGCACAGTCCTCTTCAGCCTCCGTAAACATTGGGCATATTATTTATATCAAAGTGCACAGAAAAACTGAGGGTGTACCTCCCCCCCCACACACACACCGCGGGTAGTCCGAGCAACCCATTTGTTGCTGCTTAAATTATATTTGGAATCTTTTTAAATATGAGAGACCGCATTTTGGTCTGTTCTGTTTGATTTATTGGACAACTGGACACCATGGTTAGACAGCAAATGGTGGTGTACTAATTTTATTTGGCCTCGGTATATTCTCCCCCTCATTCATAGACACACACACGCACACACGATCATCCATCCTTTACAGTGCACATATTTTAGGGAAGACCGAGAACTCAGTTACTTGATTGATCGTTTGTTGTTGTTGTTGTTGTTGTTGTTGTTGTTAGGACGGCCCAAGAAATTCACTGAATTAGGCTGCTTGTTCTGACAGATAACCCGTAGAATTCGGGCTGGAATGCGAATAAACATCGTGAATACGCACTGTACTCTTCCTCTCTCTCTCTCTCTGTTAACTTAATAGTTGAGTTCGAGGGAAAATAAACATTTACGATCCTTTTCTAGTATTTTGTTTTGTATTATTCCAATTCACGATATGTTATCACATTTTATCCCTTCGTGTTTTCGAAATCAGTGCGGAAATTGGATTCGGGTACGAATTCAACGTATGGAACCGGATCTGTATGATATTGGCAGTAATGCCGAGGAAGCCCGTGCCCTTCATCAAGTACACAATCATTTGTGCGAGAAGTTGGCGGTAAGTTAGATCACTTTGCGTAATCCCCATGCGTAATCCTCACAAGTCTTTTGCATCTCCCCTATGTTTACTCCATCTCTTCTTATTTCCGTCCGCACACACACATATTTGCTTCCAGGCTAAACAAGACCAAATCTCACAACTGCTGTCCCGTGCGGATGATCTAGTCACGCAACAGACCTCCGAGAGTCAAACCCAGGTGTACGCTGCAATGGCCGAGTCGCTTAATCGAGCCTGGCGTGACCTACTTGGTGTTCTCACTCAACGGGGTCATCTGCTCGAGCTGGCCGTGGAATGTTTTACGGCCGCAGAACATGTCGTGTCTGAAGCGAATCGTTGCGAACATTTGTGTAACACAGGTGGCTGGGGTCATGATGTCGATTCAGTCAAACGCTTGATTGAGGTAAGCATTCATCCGACCGCGCTAATTTGGTTTGATTCACTCTGGATCAATAATCGGTTGATGCTTGAACAATCTTCTCCTAATTTTTTTTCTGCTCACTAGGAACACGAAGCTTTGAAACGGACCAGTTTACTGGAACCGTCCCATCGAATGCTAAACGCGGCCAACAGTTTGCTAGAACTATTGGCCCGATTGTCCAATCAGACTGCACCATCCGCGGCTCCGTTGTCAACAGCTACGGGAGCTAGTCGAGCCAGTGTGGAGGCCCGTGAACGTGTAGCTTCGATCACAGCAAAAGGAGGTGCTGCTCGACGACATGCTGAGTCTGTATGGAATCGTCGAGATCGTTTGCTGCATCTGCGCCTAGCGATCGTATCCATGGAATCAGAACTTGAACGAATTGTGGACTGGTTTATCAAAGTAAATCGAGAAACACACACATCTTTCATCCCAACCACCCACCCACCCATGTTTGTTTCGTTGTTTCCATCGGTTTAACCACCGAGGTCCCTTAAAAAAAAGAAGACAAATACATACACAACTTCAATGCCAGTCCACTTAAAATAACCATAACATCTTATTAAAAACAGCTCCTGCCTCTTATAGTGTAAAGACGGACCAGTCGTGGAACAATCAGACATGATAACCACTGAGTATAAATGCGAACTTACCTTTGTTATTATTACTATTTTTACTATTGTTTGCTCTACATTCATTTCATAATAATTACCTATAAAACGATTTGTTAGTGGAGACAACACGTCGACTGACATGAGAGGATGGTACTTACGAAATGAGATTTCAACATGTGACTTATGGGTCTATGTGCTACCATTGCTAGCTGGACAGATACATGAAATGAAGATTTAATAGCCGAATGGGATGGATCACACATTTTCTTATTAAGTGCGGTCCTAGATTCTTAGATGGTTAGCGTCTCTGCACATAACTCAAAGGATCCGAATTCAAGTCTCGACGGGGTCCTGTATATTTCCAGCATGTATTGTTGATGAAAGATATTCAACCCCAGTAGTACTAACCAAAAATAGGGTTAAAACAGTTGTCTTATTAGATCCCTTCACAAAATGTACCAAACATTTGTGAGAAAAAAAACCCGTGCGAACATTTTGTCTGAGGATTCATACAGACTTTGGAAGAAAATATCCGATGCTGTTCAATTCTTGTTCCATACTTGTGATGAACGTTCAAATCATGCCGCAGCGCACTCTCGCGGATGGCACGTGACAGGTTGATTTCGCTATCAAGTTCTCCAGGCCCGATATTTAATGATCTATATTTCATCTGTTAACCCTGTAAATCGTTTTGACATTATTACAGTCAGTCCGCTCTAGTTTGGGGACTTGTGCTCTGTCTAGGACAGGTGCGTAGAGATATAGCGCATACCGACAGAGGAACGTACTCATCGGGATCATATTAAATGCATCAAGCATGTATCGAATAGCTCAAACAACCGGCATATTTTCCCCGACAATTTTTCATTCCAGGTGGGAGAACCCCGACTGTATGAGGCGCAAATTGGCACATCTTTGTCCGAATGTCAGTCTCAACTAGACAGTCTAATGAATTTGGCCGAGGAAGTCCGAGACATGCAAAGTATGCATACTCGTCTGATGCGTCATTTGCAACAAACGTCCACCGCGGACCAGTGGCGTGGCACACGACCAAAAACTGTTTTCGAAACTCTAGACGCGGCACAACAAGAGTTGGAGACCGAGTTGTCCCGTAGCTACAGTCATTATGGTCCGATGGAAATCGATGGAATGGGTGAAGATTCACGAGCGACCAATGAGGAGACGTGGCGTGAGACTCACGGTGCGTATTCACAACTGGCAAACCGTATGCGTACCACGGAAGCCTACATTTGGGAGTTCTTGGATCGTTTGGAACTCAGACGTCGATTGTTGCACACCGGTGTTATATATTACAGCGAAGCTAATGTGGTACGTTTTCCGGCAATACTAATCGGATGATTAGAAATCGATTTTTACCATCTCTCTCTAGTTATAAATTTGAGTTTTCATTAACTGTGTTCTAGTGAGCTCCGAATAACCGGCCTTTCCCCCTCCAATTTCTACTTTGTACTTCTCAGATGCTGACACAAATCTATCAGCTAGAATCGGAAATGAAGCAGAAACATGAACGACCAACTGCAGGTCTGGAAGATTCTTACTTTGATCGACTGAACAATTTGGAAGTCCGGGTACCCGGTTTGCGGCAGACTTTGGCTGAGTTAAGATCAGGTCATGAAGAAGATATCTATCCCAAATCCACATTCCGTTCACAACTCGGTGTCACGGTGACCGGACCCCCGCCGGTACCTGACCACGAGGCTACGTCCAGATCGATGACAGCAGCAATTGGCAAAATGAAGGAAATTGAAGATGGAATTGCCCGATGTCGATCGCTTTTCTCCACTTATCAGGAAAGAAGCATCAAAGCCCAACGCCGTCAAGAAGTTGAAACACGTATAGAAATGGTATGTGTTAACATATCGGTTAAATCTCTTGACATACCATGACACTGCGATATCCACAGTTTGCTTTCTTTTCCAAAAGTTGTTCGCTTATCTGTCCCAAGTATTGAATTTCACTTTGTCCCTTTCGTAGCTTATGTCCTGGCTTAACCAGCGGTTTGAACGATCGTTGGTTGAGCATGCAAATATGGGCACAACATATGAACAAGTGGCGGACTTTGAAGATTTCCACCGTCGTCTTGATCGGGAATTGGACACTCGTGAATCGGAATTGGATGAAGTACGCGCCGCAATCGGTCGTTTATCACCATCCTCAGAGAAAGCATCACTTGAGGTAATCGATCAACTTTGCTAAAGCAGCTAAGAAATTAACTTGATTTCACAACTTTTATTTATTTCTCGTGATTACTTTCTTTTTGCAAGTGGACATACTCCAAACCTATTTATTTCTCTACCATGGTCTTGGCTTCTTCTAACGCCCAATTCACTGCATATATTTTCAGCTTCATCTGAGTGATCTCAACTCCAGATGGACAAGATGCCGTCAGACAATCCGACAACGCATCCAACTGGCTGATCAATTCCTCAGTTTAATTCGACGAATTCGTGAAGATGATCATCAACAGACATTGGTTTTGGAGCGTATGCAACAATTGGACAGTTCGGAAACTAGTCTACTGGCTACGGGCACGCTTGAAGGAGCCGTGGGAATTGAAGGTCCGGACCGGTTACGGTCTGATGTGACACTAATCATCAGTCGTTTGGAGGAACAACAATCCCAGCTGAGAGATTTTGTTGATCAAGTAAGGCTTTTACTTTAGGCGTATCTCACAAGAATCTAAGGCTAAAGTTCTAATGAATTGTTCTCATGTTTTTTTATTTATCAGAGAAATAAAATCAGGGACTCTCACTTTGAGCAATGTTAATTCAAACAATCACACCCACACGAGTTTGACCATTATTTTCTTTCTGTTTCCCCCATTGCACTAAAGATCACTCAGCGCAACGATCGGGACTTGAATACAGCAGAACCCATACGATATTGTCAATTGCAAATCCAAATGAACGCCAAACATTTGGATCAGCTTCGAGAATGTTGGATCAACTGCGAACGATTCTGGGAGCAATGGAAAATGGCTCGTGAATACTGGATCACGTTTAACAACGGCGCACGTGATGTGAGTGTGACTTAATTCCGTCGTCTGATTGATTTTCTCATGAATGAATGAATGAGTAAATGAATGAATGAATGAGTGAGCGAGCGGGTTGTATCTGTGGACAAACTGACAAACATACACACACACACACACACACACGCCTATTGAGCTCATCCAATTTGTTTCTTTCTCTATCACAGCTGGATGAAATGATGGCCACCTCGTTGTCTCGTATGTCGCGAACCCCGATGCCCACAAAACCGTTTGAATGTGAGCGCGCAATGCGTGATCATCAGTTGGATCGGGATCAAGTAGACCAGATGAGCAATATGGTTCGATCACAAGCCCAACAACTTGGTCAACTGGTCGGTGCCAGACCGGATGATCGAATGGAAGACGGTCGAGGTTGGACATTTGTTGAAGTGCCTCTCGGACCGGAAGCTGGACTTCCAGCCTCCGGTATAGGAAGACGTGTGCGAAGTGAACTGACTATGCAATTGGCTGGACTGGCAACCCGTTGGTCTGCCTGGGATAGAGCCTGGACCACCAGACGCATCCAGTTGGAACGACGTGGTCTACAAGTTGGTCGTTTAGCCACAATCGAGGTAAGTCTATCACAGTTCATCATTTCTGATATAACACAATTTTAGTTACCGCGTTTTGTATTCATAACCCTGATGTCGAATTGACTGTTTGTAACCGTTACTTTGTCTCACAGGAGGTCGAAGGCGAATTGGTTGCAGCTGAAAATGACTTGCAATCGATTGCCAACGCAGTGTCCTTNCGATTGCCAACGCAGTGTCGTTAACAGCTCCACTGGAACAAGTCGAACGGGCTGAAAGGGATTTGAGTCGTTTGGAATCCACAATACCGGTAAGCTCAAAGTTTTCCAGGTCGGACGCATCAATCCTTCCTTTTCACATTCGATGGAAACACTTACGAATTGTGTTTATTTACGTTTTTTCAGGTTCTTAAAAATCGTGTACGATCCACAGCCCCAGATATGCGTATGCAATTGCTCCAGGGTGAACCAGCCCCGACGGAGACGTGTGAACTTCCGATTGATGTGACCCAGCGTCACGAAGCTCTGAGCGCACGTTTCGATCATTTGGCAGATGCGACCTCCCGGTGTCGTGTTGAGGTCAATCTGACACTGCGCCTGTTACGTGCAATCCGCGTGGCCGAGAACGCCCTGTCTCAAATCACATTCAGTCTGTCTGGAGCCAGAGACCAGGTGGACCGACTACCCCAAGAAGATGGTCAGTATATATATCGGGTACGAAGTGAACTCGAGGAACATTTGATTCGTGGTCAAGCACTGGCCGATACGCACATTCCAACGCTGGAACAATTAGCGGTTCAGCATCCTAATCGTAAGTTTTTCAACTGGCAAAATTAACAAAACAAACTAGAAAATACGCCGATTTTGCCGGCCTTCTTTGTCAAGGTCAAAGTTAAATGATAGTGTCGTAATTGGTAATTTTTGAGTTTATATCTGTCACAAAACTACACACACTAACATACTATAATAATGCCTAACAAACGGTGTTTGAAGTACGTTGTCTACTCCAATGTTGAATTCCGGCTTTCATGGATCTAGAGTAAATAAGAGTATCTCGTTAGCCATATGATCTCAATTGATTTTCATCCTGACCGTACCAACAGTCGGAATCGAATATCAATATCCTTTTCCACTACAATCGAAACAATTTGTTTTATTTCTTTCAAACCTTTTCTCTTTTCATTATGATGCAATTGACATCGCGTCTTTTGCCTAATTTATTGAAATTTTCACCAAATCTTATCAAGCTACTATAGACATTGATGTAAACTTTTTGTGCTGCAAGTCGTATTTCAAGCCAATAATTAATTTTACATTTTATCTGCAATTGTACATTTTTTTAAAATTCACAGCCATTGAAGCCAAACAGAAAATTGAACCGATCGTATCCGGATTCCGTGATACGGTTGGCGAATTGCATCGTCTGACTGAAGAGGTTCGAGTCCGTTCGGAACAATCGATCTATCTGGCCCGACCGCTCGGTGTTCCCGTGCCTGAGGATCTGACCAGTCGACAGTATATCAGTCCACCAGTAAGCAGACGTCCGCCTGTAATCACACGTCCGTTGAACAATCTGTTCACCGAAGAAGGCTCTCCGATTGTGTTGGAAACCGAATTCGATTCCGGTTTACCCCCAGGTGAGCGAATCGTATAGACATTTGTAAAATGCTGGGCGTTTTTGAGTTAGATTGAAACCACCGAATTTTTCACATTCAACTATCCTCTTTAGAATAAAAATGGGAAAGTTAGCAAGTTCTTTCATAAAATAACCTGTTGATTTTAATTTTCCGCATACCCATCCTTCAACCCTGTGCCAACACAGAGGCCGACCCATATGATCGAAGTCAACTGCAAACCATATGGCTTAAAGATGGCTATCCGGTAGTCACACCGGATTACGAGGCTCAAATAGCACCGAACAAAGCAGCTTTGAGAATCGGAGAGACATTGAGCGAGGATACTGCCCGATTTACCTGCCGAGTGGTTACTCCGTACGGTCAGGCGGAGACATCGTGTAATCTGGTTGTCCATGAGGCAATCAGTCCTGTACCAAAACCCGTGGATGAATCAGCTATTCAGCCAACCAGAAGGCCCAGAGCGAGACAACCTCTCATTCCGCGTGGTGAACCTCCACGGTTTATTCGGTAATTGTGCTTTTCATTTTCGTGTTTGATTGGTTATCGACATATTTTATGAATAATTTGAAGGACTAATTTTTTGATAACTAGTGCGATGTATCGTCACTGCTCACAAAATTTTCTTAATGTTATTCAGCCGGATGGCTAAATGGCGTGTCATTCTGAATAATGTCGTACTGCAACCATATGAATGGAAGGCTAACCTTTTCCAAATACATGCATAAAGTTTGCCATTTTTCTGCTTGTTATGACATCCTATTGAATCTCTCGATGAACTACTCATAAGTAGCCAAACACAATATCTATAAAATGGATCGCTTCATGCGTTGCGTCTACGTGTTTTGTTTTGTTGCCACTTTTAGTGAGCTGCCGTCAAGGACAGTTCGAGAGCCAGAAGAATTTACTCTTGAATGTCAAGCTGTTGGACACCCAACACCCACCTTATCCTGGTTCCGAAATGGTGAATGTATCGATGGCCATCCGGAGTACCTTACCAGTACTGTTGGTGGTTCGAGTCATCTCAAGGTACGTCATAATTCGGTGATTTACCACCATCACCACTACACACTTCTGTATATACATATATGCATATGTATATATTGCACCGTTTCCAATAAATTTCACAACGCTACAACCAGTGGAAATGCATAACGACCTAAACGCATCTAGACCGCATTCATCAGTCAAATCCGATTATCAAGATGAGAAATACCTGTAATGGAAGAAAACATCGATGGCCCGTTCAATGCGCAATAATTAAATATTGGTAAACGTTTTATGAACTTTCAAAATGCTAAACGATTTGAGGCCTTATCTTGTATCTTTATCGGGAAAGCCCCAACTAAAGATTTTGTATTGAGGTAGCTTTCCGTTTATAATCCGTTTGTATGCTTTAGTATAGAGTAAAGCCTACAGCATGATCACTGGATCTCTTTTCGCTTCCCTCAGGTCCCTCGTTCTCGTATG